TATATGTGTGTGTGTGTGTGTGTGTGCGTGTGTGTGTGTTAACTATATTTATGTATGTTTATATCTATATCTATATATCTATATCCATGTATGTTTCTTAGTCTGCTTATCACACGTCAACTGCGCAATCTCAAATTTTTTGGCACAAATATCCCTCACCAGCTTGTACCAGTCGCTATCGTGCATTATCAGCATGTCCATCGCCGGCCCAACAGTCTTCCTCTTCTTCAACTTCCAGCACTATTAATTACCCGAGCTTGATCACCTTGACATACAGGAATCCTGCAGCCTTCCTCAGCGTGGCATTAGGTTGCCCACCCAATACTCGAGCGACATTCTCTGACATTTGCCAAAAGCAACAACAAGGAACACTGTTAACAATGATTCAAAGAAAAAAGGCACAGCTATGTGTTCTCTAATTTTGAATGCACTGGAGGATTCATTTGCCTGCAGGTCTTGCGGATTCTGTTGGCCCAAGAACTGTGGCTTTCAAGGGTGCAGAAATCCAGGAGTGGATCACTGAGGGACTCCAGCTGTTGTAGACAGTGAGTGCCACATGGTCGAGAGTCCCTACAGGTGCGTGGAAATCAAAAATGGAAGGAAAGGAGAGCATAGCATTCAGAAAAGAATTTTGAATTGCCATATTTAGGGTCTGTTTAGGGCAGCTACAGATTATTTACAATTTGCTGATAAATAAATTATCCTGACAATCTGATAATCTGCAGATTATCAGGATAAGCTGACTTGTTGTTTGGGGGAGCTTATTCAGAACAGTTTATTTGCAACAATTGCTGAATAAATAATCATTTTGCCTCAGTTTAGTGATGTTATTTGCAACAGAACTGTATTAGCAAAATAATAGATAAAATAGAAACCACAAACCATCACAAATCAGTTTAAAAAAATAACATAGAGTGTTCACTCTCTCATATTAAAAAAAAAAAATAAAGATAAATATAATTACAACTACAATTAAAAATATTAAAATGTTTAATTTAAAACTCTGACGACGTCTGTCCTCAGCTGCACTGTCCTCCTGAGAGACCATCACACCCTGATCGCTGTCGGAATATCGACGCAACGGAAGAAACCGCAATGAGCTAAAACGCCCCTGCGACAATCGTAGAACTGTCTCTCACTGCTGTGAGGCTGACGTGATGTAAGGGAGCCGATAGTCCCCAGTAACACAACACAACTCTGGAGATTCCTGAAATCCTAAAGCTCATGTTGCTACAGAGATAAAAAAACAAAAAAATCATTTGTCATATCAGAAAATTAAATTAAGTTCTATATAGCTATAAGAGAATCGAATTAAATAAAAACCATATCGAACTAAAAAGCTAAAAAAGATGTGAGTGTGCGGTCTCAGACAAGTAATTACACCAAACAACGCATCTGTCACTACAAGAAGACAGTGGACCTTCAAAAAAATGAGTTCTTGATTGTCTTTAACTCATGGGGACGATCGTCCTGGGATACATGTGTCTATAAAAAAAAAATCATCCAATAGATCCTCATATACTGTTGCACTAAAAAGAAGACAAAACCTATGTTGCCTTCTTTAGAAATTCACACGCATTACCAACAGGATACGTTC